GAGAGAGAGAGAGAGAGAGCGCAGCACATCATCGTGAGTTTGGAAAGTTCAGATGTCTTCTGTGCCAGGCCTCGTTGCCGGTCATGGAGGGCTTTTCAGGAGATGGCGCAACCTTCTCCTGGAGCATCCGGAGACTGCGATTGAGTTCTTAGGTTCTGCCGACGCCACCCTGGGACGCAAACCCTGCGCTGGCACCCAAGCCATCTGAACTAGTCTAAACTCTCAACAACGAAACAGCACTTTCGCAAAGGAGAACCTTGCTTCCAGGATTCTTAAGCAGTCCCGACAGCAATAGAGCCTCTTGGTAAACTTTGCGATCCTTGCTCCAATGATTACTACCTGCGTTCTACCACCAGCATTGAACCGTTAACACATCTTGGACTTCATCGAAAAGGCTGCGAAAACGACGTGCTTCGGCTACGGCATTCCTGAAGCCTCACCATGCGATTACCCTCAAGTCCTCGAGGAATCTGCAAATGGAAACTGAAAAGGAGTCTGCTGAAAGCCAAGCAGCGAGAGCGACTCCAGCCGTGACCCCTGCGTTGATTTCGATGCCTTGTCGCAAGGCTTGACAGCTTGTGGACTTACTTTGGACATATGTCATCGTGTCTATCCACAGGTTGCATGTCGCATCTACCGGCACATGAACATGCGTTGACTCTAGCAGCCTATCATCTCCATATCTATGCGCGAAAAGCCTAGCTGTATGCGTGGACATAGGCTTGCATGAACATCGGGTATCTGCACTGACGAACATGCAAGCATGCACTTGTGTGTATGTATGTACATGTCTATTTCTATGTCCATGTCTCTCTCTGCTCATAAGCAATGTGGGTAAAATGAATCTGCAAGTCTGCAAATGGAAAGAAAAGGCATCTAACTGGTGCAATATAACGTACATACAGACGGACATCCGTTCCATATACATATTGCTATTCGTATTCCTCTTAGCATCAGCATCAATGCTGATACTAATCTGATAATCTCAGTATTGCACCCAAATTCTTGTAATTATACT